CCTTGTTAGGCCTGTGGTGCCCCTGGCAGGCCTCTGGTGCCCTTGCTAGGCCGCTGGTGCCCCTGGCAGGCCTCTGGTGCCCTTGCTAGGCCGCTGGTACCCCTGCGCCCGGAGAGGACTGGTGCCCCTGAAAAGTCTGAAGTGCCCCTCGGCAGGCCCGTGGTGCCCCTGACAGGCCCAAGGTGCCTCTGCGAGGCCGGTGGTGCCCCTGGCAGGTCTGTGGTGCCCCTGGCAGGTCTGTGGCGCCCCTGGCAGACCTGTGTTGACTGGTGCCCCTGCTAGGTCGCTGGTGCCCCTCACAGACCTGTGGTGCCCCTGGGCCTTGACAAGCCTGAGATGCCTGGCTATGACAGGCTCGTGGTGCCCCTGATAGACCAGTGGTGCCCTTGCTAGGCCTGTAGTGCCCCTGGCAGGCCTCTGGTGCCCCTGCTACCCCTGCGCCCGGAGAGGACTATGGTGCCCCTGAAAAGCCTGAAGTGCCTCTCGACAGGCCCGTGGTGCCCCTGGGCCCTGGCAGGCCCAAGTTACCCCTGCGAGGTCGGTGGTGCTCCTGGCAGGCCTCTGGTGCCCCTGGCAGGTCTGTGGTGTCCCTGGCAGGCCTGTGTTGACTGGTGCCCCTGCTAGGCCGCTGGTGCCCCTCACAGGCCTGCGGTGCCCCTGGAAGGACTGTGGTGCCCCTGCCCCTAGGGGTGCTCATGGGCCCAACAGGCCCGTTGTGCCCCTGACAGGCCTGTCGTGTATACTTGCTAGACCTGTGGTGCCCCTGCTTCCTGGCAGGCCTGTGGTGCCCCTGGCGGGCCTGTGGCGCCCCTACAAGGCCGTAGGTGCCCCTGACAGGTTTGTGGTGTCCCTGGAAGGACTTTGGTGCCCCTGACAAGCCTGAAGTGTCAAGGACAGACCCTTTAGACGCCAGGGTCAAGTTCGTCGGACTGACAACGATTTGCTTACCTGATAACGTTCCTGGTAAGTACTCACTGCTCAGCGTCCACAACATATATACACATAGCACATTCATATATACTTGCTTACAATTGGTAAATGTGGTTGTGGCTAAGAGTTAAGATACTGACTAAAAATAAAAAATAAAAAGAAAAAAAAACTGAAAATGGGGGCACCAGCAAAATGAAGTGGACGAAATCCGTTGAGTTTTTAATTTTGGGTATAGGTAGGGGCACCACTTCGATTCATGACCCTCCCCTTGGAGTTTTCCTGGATCCGCCCCTGAATTTGACACGTGTGATAGCAGCGTGCTGCTATCACCGGTGAAACAGGGCCAGGATGTTCCGTACCGATATAAAGTTCAGAGCTACGAACTTTTTTGCAGATTCTGCGTGATTGCGTGATATGACTGAGACAGTTGTTGGCGCACTTGGTGGCGCACTGTATGAATCCAAGTGACGTAATTAATAATTGTTTCTTTAATTTACATGTGGTTTTGATGTTTTATTATCCAAATAAATTTATTATTAATAAAATGGTATAGAAAATAGCAAACTAAAGCGTTTGTTGCGAAAACATTTATTATTTGTTATTATTACGTCAGCATACAATAATTCACGGAAATTCTGAGAAATCGCAGAAACCGATGTCACGGAGTCTCGCAATCACGGATCTGCAGATCACGCACGTAATTTCCTGGACGGTCACGCTAGCTCAGCCTTTACAATACAAGGTATGGCGGATTGAAAGAGACGCGCCAAAAAATGTAAGCAGTACCGTGGTTTGAAAATGTCATTATTTTTATTATTTTGTTGATGGTTTTTCCAATTTCGGTTAACCCTCGCCCATGTAGGGGGGGGGGGCTGGTGCAACCCCCCCTGAGGTTTTTCTTAGATACACGCCGAACCGTTTCAGATAGCCTGCTCAAATTTTCAGTACCCTTTGGGGCATCCTTTGCGCAACTTTTGGTAATTTTTTTTTGTCAAGGTCATGTCAGGTCACGGAGTTATGACGTCATAAAGGGAACAACCTCCGGCCAGATTTACGCTAAATTGGAGATTGCTTCACATTGGGGGCATTCCACGATAGATCGTACCACTTTTTTCCAATTTGACACCCTCATCTCTCGGATTTTAACAATAATTTGTCTAAGGGGTAATCAGGGGCTCTGAATTCTCCTGTAACAATTTCAGGCTTATCAGATGAGTGGTTTTTGAGTTATAGTGTATAACATGTTTTAGATCTTGCGTTGCAGCCCCAAGTTTGGCGGGCTGTAACTCTAAGACGAATAATCCAAATGCCAAATGCTATACGACATTGAACTTGCATTGAAACAAAGAATTATATGCATTTTTAAAATTTTGAAATATATACTATTTTTGATATATAACACCTCGAGTTTCCTTTCATTTGCATTTTTATGCCTTTGGGACCAAATTTTTTTGAATTTTTATTTACTTAAAAACATCTTTGGGTCATTTTTAAGTAGCATGCAAAAATTTAGGAAGGTGTTCTTTCTATAAATGTACTTATTTTGCGTCACCGTAATGGTCTCGAATTGTGATTTCGGAAGAGAGCCTACAAATGGTGTGGTAAAGCTGCCTAGTGACATCACTGGTTACTGAAAGTTCAATTGAAGTAATTTTTGCCTCACTTTTGCATTGTTGACCTTGCGTGACGTCATTTGTACGTCACTAGGGTCATAAGAGTTTTTCGTCAATAACTCTCGATCAAATTGAGCTAGAGAGACGGGAAAGCTACCAATGGACTCGGGAAGACCTTGCGAATCGAATGATGTGCAATATGATCTCATTCATCCAGCTTCGTGGCCTGACCCGACTGTTAACCATCTCTGTAGCGGCGCTGTTTGTCCAGCGCCGCGCTGGTTGGCTTTGCCGCGGACTCGGGCGGTCACGTGATGCCCGGGGGCTGGCTGCCGGCTGGGCCGCCCGGTTGGGGAGTGGAGCCAAATACACGGCAGTGTGCTGACCCGAGATCAGCGACTTAAGCTGACCTCACCAGAACAAACAGTATACCATTCGACGCGCCGGAGCTAGGCAAACACAAAGATGCTAAAATCGCGGCTCTACGACAATTTGTTGCGAAGTTATCTATCAAAAACCGGACCCGTAATTTGGGTCACTTGAAATGACTTCAGAGGTTACCAATCAACCCGAGACCTTAAAATAAGGTATCATTCGATGCATCTTGTAACGGCGCACATGCTCGTTTTTTCCGCAATGTTCTAGCTCCATTAGAGGCGAAACGGCGAGCTGGGGTCGTACCAACCCCCGGAAACCCATTTTGTATACATTTATATGAGGATCTTATAGAAAGAACACCTTTCTAATTTTTTGCATGTCGATTTTAAAGGACCTGTAGTTTATTTTAAAGAAATAAAAATGGCAAAAATTTTGGTCCCAAGGGCCATTATAGACAATTTAAAAATATACTACGCCTTTTTTCAATATGTAAAGCTTTTCTTTCCAATTTTAAAAATACTGTATTAATCTTTGATTCATCGTTAGTTCAAAGCTGTTTACCGTTTGTTGCTTGCTTAGCTCGTTTTTGAGTTATAGCTCATCAAACTCACCCTTACAATCTGAAGTTTAGAAAATATTATGCAATGTAACTCAAAAAGTTTTCATCTGAGAAGTCTGATATTTTGGCAGGTGTTTTTGGAGCCTACGATTACCCCTTGTACCAATTTTCATTCAAATCTGAGAGATGAGGGTGACGGGCCTGGTACGATCTATCGTGGAATGCCCCATTGGTATAAGTGCCGACTGACCTGACTCATTGATGGATTGTTAGAATCACAACTGGCTGATTTGACATTGGCACAATGTCCGTTGACATTTTGAAGGTCACTTAAGGTCAAGGTAAGGTCAGTGACCTCGGTTGACCTGTAATGACTTCTTGCACTTGTATGCCTTTTCGGGGTATTTTGATGCCCTGAATTCGAATTTACTATCCATTTCAGGCATCGTCGGTTGTTTCTTGTAGTTCATTTTGGGTCAGGGTCAGGTCAGTGACGTCACACGCCTGACGTGACCCAATGCACAAATGACCTTGCAGACTTCCGATGCTCCCAACGCATCATTTTTAGAGTTATGCCATCGAAATACACACCAAACGATAGAGAATTGATCAAGGAACACGATAGTGAAGGTTTCAAGTCGATATCTCTTACCGTTTTGCCGCAATCGGCGCGGAAATCTGAAAAAGTTAGATTTTTTCGAAAATTTGACCTTTGACCGGTCATAAGTAGGTCAAATGTTGACCTAGGACCAAAAAATATACCACCAATTGCGAGATCTCGTTGAGAGCAATCCGTTGGTCTTTTCCGCTAAGCTCTACGACGCTCCGTTTTCAAACGCCAGGGGGGGGGGGGGGTCGCACCAACCCCCCCCCCCCTGCATGGGCGAAGGTGGCAAAACACCGTTTACGGGCGAGGGTTAAATTATAATTTAAAAATTTAATAATAAAAAAGTAGTCACATTGCAAACGCTAGGTCACATCGCATACTTGGTGACGTCAGTCAGGGTCCCCGCAGCAGTGACGTCAGTCAGGGTGCCATCAGCGGTGACGTCAGTCAGGCTCCCCGCAGCGGTGACGTCAGTCAGGGTGCCATCAGCGGTCACGTCAGTCAGGGTGCCATCAGTGGTGACGTCAGTCAGGGTGCCATCATCAGCGGTGACGTCAGTGAGGGTGCCCACTCGCCGCAGCGCGCGGTGACGTAGCAGGCCGTGACGGCCGCAGCGCGCGGTGACGTAGCAGGCCGTGACGGCCGCAGCGCGCGGTGACGTAGCAGGCCGTGACGGCCGCCGGGGCGGTGACGTAGCAGGCCGTGACGGCCGCCGGGGCGGTGACGCAGCAGGCCGTGACGGCCGCCGGGGCGGTGAGGCAGCAGACCGTGACGGCCGCCGGGGCCTGCCCGGTCCGAGGTAACGGGTCGCCGGCTGCTCAGCTGCGCCGTCAGCCGAGCCCCGCCGCACCGCTCGGCCGGGGATCAGTCACTGCTGCCCGTCTGACGCGGCGGCCGGCTCCCACAGCGTGTGTGGCACACAGTGGTGTGGAGTGGATAGGTGTGGAGTGGATAGGTGTGGAGAGGAGTGGACAGGAGAGGAGATGAATCTGACCTGCGAGCGGTGCCCAACCGAATGAAAGTGAGACGAAATGTGGAAAACCTGAACGCTGTAGCCGGGCACAGGGCCGGGCGGCGTGTCTGAGCCGGGCGGTGTTATTGAGCCGGGCGGTGTGTCTGATTTCCGAGCCAGGTGGTGTGTCTGAGCCGGTTGGGGTGTCTGGGCCGGACGGTGTGTCTGGGCCGGGCAGTGTGTCTGAGCCGGGCAGTGTGTCTGAGCCGGGATGTGTCTGAGACGGGCGGTGTGTCTGAGCCGGGATGTGTCTGAGACGGGCGGTGTGTCTGATTTCCGAGCCAGGTGGTGTGTCTGAGCCGGTTGGGGTGTCTGGGCCGGACGGTGTGTCTGGGCCGGGCAGTGTGTCTGAGCCGGGCAGTGTGTCTGAGCCGGGATGTGTCTGAGACGGGCGGTGTGTCTGAGACGGGCGGTGTGTCTGAGCCGGGCAGTGTGTCTGAGCCGGGGTGTATCTGAGCCGGGCGGTGTGTCTGATTTCTGAGTCGGGTGGTGTGCCTGAGCCGGTTGGGGTGTGCCTGAGCCGGTTGGGGTGTGTCTGAGCCGGGCGGTATGTTTTAAGCGGGCAGTGTTTTCGCCGGGCACTGGGCATTGTTTTAGCCAGGCGGTGTGTTTTAGCCTGGCTCGCGCTGGTGTGGTTGGTTCGGTGTATGCAGAGTTGCAGATCAGGTCGGCGGCCTGTCAGGTCAGTCGGCGAGCCAGTCCTGACCTCGCTGGAGACCTGCTGGGACGCCAGACCTGCTGGCTGGTGACCTGGGCCCTGTTTCACCAAGTGCGGTAAACTCAATTTGCGCTGATAACTTTTTTTTACACCCGAGCCCCAATAAGAACATCCAGTTAGCACCAATTTCGTAGGTAAATGCAAGTGTAACACACTCGAGGAGGTCTCGCACTACCAACACCACGATTCATGGTCATTCTGGAGTGTTGTGAAATGATGCTTGCTGTTAAGCTGTACATGACCCCTCCCGTTTTTCTATTCTAATATATCTTATAAACCACTAAGCGTAGGGGAGGTTGGGGTAATTTGGCCCCTTTTTTAAAGAAAACGATGTAGTTTAAAATTGGCGACACATTTCTGCATTTTCTCAACGCTGGCAGGTGTCGCATTCATTTTACTTCACTGGATAGTGAACTTGAAATGATAGAGTAATTATTATATTGTAATTGTGACGCATTACAAAGGTGTGCAAGGCGGCCAAATTGCCGCACTAGCAAGGTGTTAATTTGGTTTTTAAGGTGTTAATTTGGCCGGGGGTGTGGGACAATTTGGCCGGTGTTAATTAGTTTGAGGCTGGGATGTTTTGTTATAGGCGAGTCAGCTTCACATTCAGCAATGACGTGTGTCCTACGACGCATTTGACGCATTTCTGAGGTTGACTCAGCGGTCACGTTACAGGGGTCGAAAATACAAAATAGCGGCTCTAGATGCGATCACAGATTTTTACGAATAGCTTTTGAAGTAATCAAGCTAGGTCGAAACTAAAAGTAGCATCGTAATTCTCTCGTCAGTCCGCATCGAAACATATACGTGTTGAACTCGAGAGGTCAAGGTCAAAGGTTGACTTCAGGTCACGCTACCTCAAGTCGCTTGACCTCAAGGTCACGTGATTACAAGGTCAGCATGTATATCATTTGATGCGCCTTGACGAGCTGAACACAATGAGACTATTTGCGCGGCTGTATCTTTTTCTGTTAGGATTTATTAGCGAAAAAAACGTTTGGTCAGTCACATGCCCTTACATCTGTCCAATAGGAAATAAGGCATGAAGGTAGTCAAAGTTGGTCATGAATTATGTCATTTATGGTATAATTGACCATGACAACTCGACCGTCCCAGCAAAGCGACCCTGAGCACACCGGCCAAGTCGCCCCGCTATTCCCGGCCAAATAACACCACATTGATATTCTGAAAATTGTTGTCTAGGTATAATATAAAGTCGTCATGGCTGTACGGAACTAAATGAAATTGCTCTTGGAACCGCTGAACACCCCCCCCCCCCCCCCCCAGAATGGCGCTATAATGTCAGAATTCGTTTACAGCCCAAATACTACATGTTATACAACTTTTTATGCGGAAGTAAAAGCTGCCATTTTCGAATGAAATTCACGTTTTATTTATTTTGAAGAAAACTATGAGGGGAAAGCTTTGACATATGTCCTCGAGTTAGTTCTACCATAGTTATTTATTACACTATGGTTCTACCCATGACAAAGGAATAGAGACTAGAGTTATTTCATTAACTTTTATCAGATATTGTACTGGGGGGGGGGGGCAATTTACACCACCGGCCAAATTACCCCAACTTCCCCTACCTATCAACACGAAACTTGCAATAGCTGCATAAATTTGACACAAGTGTCAAATTTAAGGTAAGGGTAATAGGTAAGTTTACCTATTGTCAAAATCACAAGTTTGTAGCTACCATATGTCGGCCGGAAATGACGTCAGAGTGACGTCATATTGGGCGATTTCGATGCAAAACATTGAGCTACGGCGATCGCTCTCAAGAGCTCATTTTTTAAGCTAGATCCAATTTCTTTACATGAGGGGACTCACAGTACACCGGGAAGTCGGTTTTGGCGACATCGCTCACTCCTGAGGGCTGACTGGAAAGAGGATAAACTTGCAGTGATTGAGTCCCGACAAATCATCGGTGTCACTTACTGACTGTGCGTCCAGTTAGCGACAGACATTGGCTACAGACTAGTCGACTTCAATCACCCTCAATCGTCGCGAATGGTCACGTGCCGACTAAATACCGAGACCTACCCGTATCGGAGGCCTCTATGTTGCGGCGTTAGCCGTCTTTTTAGGAAGTGGACTTTCTAGCAAAAACTATTTTGTCTAGAGAAATTAGTTACTGTGGAGCATATTGCTACCAGCCATGGTGACCGCATAAGCTCAGTTACGAGCCAAGTTCAGCGTGTCTTTAACCCGCGCCCCGCTGGGCTATTCAGCCATACGCGCCCTGCTGGGGGGGGGGGGGGGGCAGATTCTGCCCCCCCTGTCTAACTTCCAAACCGATGGTCGTAGAAAGACGGGGAAAACGGTAATCGAAAGCTCTCAACAAGGCGGATCTTTAGAGCCCAATTTTTTTTGCTTAACTAGGTCAGAGGTCAGGTCAAGGTCAGGTCAAGGGTACAACATGCAAGTTTCTACAGTATCGGCCTTGCACCGTAGTTGCCGAAGAATGGACTGAGACTGATTGCCCAAAACGTGTTCTTAGACTACCAAGACAATATTCGTTGCATACAATGTCATTCAAAGTTCAAGGTCAAGGTCAGGTCAGGTCAGGTCAGGTCACCAAAAACAAAATATGGAAAAGGGCATGTGCGACACATGTTTTATGGGTCATTTTACGCATAGAATTCAATAGGCACACTCAATAAGTGATATGGACCACCTCTGGATGAATTTCAGGTCGAGGTCAGGTCAAGGTCAGGTCAAGTGAGGTCAAATTTTGAAGTTGGTTGTTAAGGCCTAAAAAGGTGTCTATCTGATACAGTTTTTCACGGCGAATCGAATGGTGCTATTTTTGTTTCCGTACGAGGTCTAGAACTTAAAAAAAATCATTTTTCAAAATTTTTGTGTGTCATGACGTCATAAAATTTTGAATAACTCCCACATTTTTGAAACGATTCTTCTAAAAATTGGTATGTAGGTGCACACAGACAACTTCTCTGACATATATTCCGGTTTTTTCGATACACTCAAAATTTTGGATTTTATAATTATTTTTCCAAAAAAGTCAGTGTTTTGAAAAATTTTGGTCCAAAATCCAAAATTTTCAAAAAACTGAGATAGCCATTTGATAGACAAAGTAGAATCACGTATTATCTTTTTTGTTACGTCTTGATTCCTTTAAAAATGAAGATGTTAGCGGCGTTTGAAATTTTGCCGTTTTTTAGGCGAAAATGGCGAACATGACGTCACTAAAACGTCAATTTCTCAAAAAATTTCCGACGGATTTCGCTCAAATTTTCAGGGAACGTGTCAAATTGATGTATGATAAGGTACTGAAAGTTTGGCGTCGCTGGCGTAACGCGTTTAGAAGTTATTGGCGAAAAACGGGAGGGGGGGGCAGATTCTGCCCCCCCCCCCCAGCGGGGCGCGGGTTAAGCAAGAGAGCCTATAAACGTAAAATTTAGGTGAGAACGAACCTATGGGACACCCTGTATATGATAGATCTGGCATGTGGAAAGTCACCTGAGTGGATGATGACCTGTGGCATCGCAATAGAGGTCAGCCTCGACCAATCAGAAAACAATTCGTGAATCGTAAGGAATGGCATGTTAAATTGTGAATATTCGAGTCTATATAAAGACGTGTCATATAATATACCTATATGCAACCACAGAAACCGCCTTGACCATTTTTTCGACCTATGACGTCACAGGAAGGTCAAATAAGGTCAAATTGTACCGGTTTACAACAAAAAACATTTTTCACGTTTAAGTGACTTTTCTCACGTAAAGGATCATATTAAGCCAGGAAGAGGTTGATAAGTATCATAAATGTTACCTACTCCTCACTGATTTCAAGCACAAATACCGAAAATATTGTGACGTCATAATAACAGTCACTACTTTCTCAGTCATTCAAATGGCTATATGTCTGGCAGTTTTAGAGATATTTGGTTAATTTTTGCATGTTCTACCCTGTGGTTGACTACTTTTGATACATCCAGGCGACCGTCCTGGCACGTGCCACGTGAAAAGCCAAGCTGGTGTTCAAGCAGTTCCACAGAATTAGCGCTTTTGGGAGGCCTATATCTCGGCAACTGCTTAGATGATTGACTTGCGGTAATTTTTGTAGGGTAGCTGCATCCCTTCTACCAAAAATAGGATACTCTCGATGCATGTGGGTCACCCCCAGTGCACGTGCAAAATACAACAATAAGAGGTGTCAAATTTGTTCCCATTTTAATAGCTCGGTAATTACGGGGGCAATTTCGCTGAAACTTGGCATACAGGTAGGCACCCACCAGGCAATGCATTCCCATGTGTTGCGACTTGGGTGCTACTGCACGTGCGCCCGTGCAGGGGGCGTTTCCAGATCTCGAAAACGGCTGGACCGATTGCGCTCAAATTTGGTACACGGTTGGAGACCAGTTAGTAGGGTGCCGTGCAAAAGTCACTTTGGACCCCGTTTGCACGTGCGCACGTGCAGAATGCCGCTTCCAGATCTCAGAAACGGCTGGGCCAATTGCGTTCAAATTTGGTACACCGCTAGCAACCGGTTAGAAGAGTGCTTTGCACAAGCCCGTTGGAAGTACCTTCCGCCCTTCCGCACGTGCAGGGCTCACTATCTCGCTCGCTCGTTCTTCGCCCAAAAGGCGTTTTACTGTATACATTGTCGTCGTAAATATCACACAGACCCTAAACCAATCAAAGATTACTGCCGGATACATAACGCATAAATGACTTTACCCACCATTCTCAGAGATGATTATCCTGCATTACTACAACCTCTCTTCTCTTTTCTTTTTAAAACGGATCTTCTTCGCAGTCTTTAGGTTCACTGGTTTCTTCATTCAGTTTATTTAACTCAACATGTAAACACACCGGTGTGAAATGGTCCAACGGACCGAAGCACCTAACCAACAAAAAAGAAAAAAGAAAAAAGAGCGCCCGCAGTCCCTCCGTTCCGTCGTTTCCATCCTCAGGATACTGAAATCCTTCTCCACGACGCAACTCCCACTCCAGGCTGGACAGGCACCTTCCTATCTCATGCGGGCTGCTCCCTTGGAGTGGCACCGCTGCTACCGAGGGAGCGCAGCCCGTAGCCAGGTGCAGAGAGTGCTTGGGGGGCTGGTCGGCCTGTCCATTCGGACGGACTCCGCCCGTCGACTCTTTAGGGTGTCTGTCCAAATCAATGTCTCCCCCTAATTCCGATCATCCTGCCGGCTCTGCAGTGCAACCGAAAGGGCCTCAAAAACGGGCGCCGCCGTTTTTGGCACACCTGTTCGTGCATCTTTTCCGCACATGTTGTGAAAATTTCAGACCCAGGTCACCTTAGGTCAGGTCACCAGGTCACGCAAAGTGACCTCACCTCAGAAAAAAAAGAATGCTCGTCCTAGCTACACCGATTGATCGATTGCCTTGAAACTTTGAGCGATTGCTTGGAGTAACATTATCTATAAAATGTATATCTCGGAATTTTAATATCGGTGACCTAAGGTCAGGTCAATTTTGCGGCCTCTCCAAAGTCAATGTGAGAAAATTGAAAAGCGTCTGTTTTGCACGAACGCTATTCTAGACACTCTCAAACATCGAGATGTAGGTAAAATTGACACACTGAACCGGAAAATGGCAACTGTGACCCCTCGTTATGTCCCCGAGGTCATCTCAGGTCACGAACAGAATCTAACAATTTTTCGCTAATAACTTCTGATAGAGACGTGCTAGAGCGCTGAAAACACCTTAGATGTGTTCGGCTCGACGTGGCGGATCGATTGATATGCAACGTGACCTTTTCCGGTCAGGTCATGACCTTGACCTGAGGTCAAATTTTCAAGTTGACCTTTCAAAGTCCAATTATAGTTCATTCGACGCGTCTCGACGAGAGGAACACGATGCTGGCAAAAGTAATGTCATGGCTCTTTTGAGTCAAAAGTTATTGCCGATAAAACGCTTTTCGTAAAAACGGCTATTTTTGAAGTTTTTGCCCTCTGGAGGCTAAACCGTTGACCTGAGGTCAAATCTGAGAACATTACTCAGAAAGGTCTGTAAAAGGGCTATCGAATGCGCTTTTCCGCGGCGCTGTAGCTCTATCGGTTCCCGAGATAGCCGCTGGCAGTTTTCAAAATGTTGAAATAGTCAACAATTTACCTTTAGTGACCTCTGGTGACCTGACCTTTGACCTGACCCAAAAAATGACCGATGTGTTTTCGTCCTTATTTTGGACGTTCTTTCGATTGCCGCCTACCGCGTGTCGCTACGTGGCCCAGGAGCCGATTTAGAAGGGGGGGGGGGTGTGTTCAGACACCCCCCGCCCGGCGCGGAATCTCAGAGCACCGGCCCGGCGCGGGTTAATTTACCGCACTTGGTGAGATTGGGCCCAGGGCCCTATCTTACCAAGTGCGGTAAACCCAATTTTAGGGTCGTTTTTTGCAGTTACGTAGTGGGGTAGTTTGGTAGTTTACCTCAAACTGAGTTAACCGCACTTGGTGAAACTGGGCCCTGGCGAGTGGAGACCTGACTGGTCGGCCGCCGTCCAGTGCTGAGACCAATGCAGTTCTACTTCTGACACCCGAACAGAATCAGCGCCGATAACGACGCGACTAATCTGAAAATGGAGCCGCCCAAAGCTGAAACTCTACATTGGTTCTAATGCGAAGAATTACGATAGCGTTGCTAGGGGCGTGCCCAGACCCGGCTCGATTACCCAGCTATCGAGCGGTGGGCCCGACTGCCGCGCCTGAAACCAGCACCGAGACCACTGGCCGCGGCAAACCAGCGCCGAGACTACTGCCCGCGGCAAACCAGCACCGAGACCACTGCCCGCGGCAAACCAGCACTGAGACCACTGCCAGCGGCAAACCAGCACTGAGGCTCGACGTGCAGCTTGAGTCTCCCACCCAGATCGGCGCTCGGCAGAGGCACCGGAGCGGCGCGCGGCCGGGGTATAACCGGAGCGGCGCGCGGCCGGGGTATAAGCGGAGCGCTCGGCCGTACCGGAGCGGCGCGCGGCCGAGGTATAACCGGAGCACTCGGCCGTACCGGAGCGAGCCCACGCGGTGAGCCGTGCCGGCCGGTCAGCCGCGCCGGAAACTATGTCGGCAGCTGGGGCCGGCTGGCCCCCGACCGACAGGCTGGAAATCATGATCAACCTCACGCCCGAAGCGCAGATTCTGCTGAATCCGTTCTCGTGGGCCGGGGCGCTGAACGCTCTGCTCATCAGGCAGTTCGGCTTCACGCTGGCCGACCTGGTGGCCTTTCTGGTGCTGTCGTTTGTCTTCTGGAAGGTGAGCCGCCCAACTGCACTCAGTGGGCTTCTGCTGAGCCAAGTGGGCTCCACTGAACTCAGTGGACCCAACTGAGCTAAGTGGACCCAGCTAAGCCCAGTGTACCCAATTGAACTCAGTGGGCTAAACTGAGCTAAGTGGGCTCAACTGATCTCAGTGGACCCAACTCAACTCAGTGGGCTTAACTGAACTCAGTGGACCCAGCGGCTATCTGGTACACGTTTGGTGCACATCTGGTGTAGATTAGGTGCAGATTTCACTAGATTTGGTCAAATTAGGTTCAGTGTGTCTCTTAGCAGCTATCAGGTAGGGCTGCTCTAATTGCTTATATGCCTGCTTTGTCATATTATCAGAGAGCATCATCGGTTAAAACACTGAAATAAATTCATAAAATGAAGATATTTGCTGTAAAAGAGATTAGGTGCAGATTTGGTCAAATTAGGTGCAGACGCCGGATAGTCCGTCGTGAAAACGGCTAAAATGCGTTCTAACCGTTCGACGGCACTCCTAGCCGTTTGACCTGGAGAGGTCAACAAAGGTCATAGGCCCCATATTGGCACAGCGGATTGCGGCCCATCCAGTAGAGCTAAAGCGCTGAAACTGACACAGAAAGACTCACCTGAACTGAAGCCCCAGTAAACATGTCGACGTCGGCCCAACGTCGGTCCAGCCTTGGCCCGACGTCGGCTGGACGGCGGGAACGTCCGCATATACTATACTGACGTCCAGGCGAGGTTCGACCGACGTCGGGCCGAGATCGTTTGCCGAGATTGAGCCGAGATGACGGTGGGACCGACGTCGGCCGGACATCTCCCTGCTGTCAACCCGACGCTCAGCCGAGGTATATACAGCCGACGCAGGACCGACGCCCAGCCGACGTCCAGCCGACATCCAACCGACCTCCCCCCGCTGTCAACCCGACATCCCCTCGCTATCACCACTCATCCCGACTTCCAGCCATGGTGTGTCAGAAGCAGGCGCGCACACAGGATTTTCAATGGGAGGGGCACGACCCGCGAACTGGCCCCCCTCCCTCCCATGCCGAAGGCCCCCCAAAAAATGCGGACTATGGAGTTATGTTGAGTATCCATGACAGGTTGGATGATGATGTAAATAATAAATCAAATTATTACAAATGCATTCAAATATATTCAAAAAGACACACAAAGCTTTCGGTTCATGGAACCTTGATCACTGTGCAAATGAGTATAACAATCGCTGTAACTGGAGTTATACCGGGTGTCCCAAAAGTAAGGTCATGATTTAAAACTTAAATATCTCGAGAAGTAAGAGTCCGAATCACTTCCAATTTTAACACGTGCAAGGTACATCCATAAAATTATTTTCTTGCATGCTTAAACCATTTTTGATCATAACTACACCGAGCAGTAGGCATAAAACTGAGAAGGTCGAAATTCAACTCTTAGAGGGGGTCCGTCATTAAAACAAAGGGTAAATACCGCCCAGTTTTCGGCCCTAAGCAGACCCTATCAGCTCGCCCTATCTCTGAACTCATGCATAGTTTCGCCTCAACCGGTAAAACGTCAGAAAAAAGGATAATGTACGCACAGGGCATGTATACTTAGCCACCTGTGCTTCGAGGTCCTGAGGACGACAGCGGGAATCGGGTGACAATAAATCAAGAGAGTGGCCGAGAGTCCTCCCAGTGGTTCTTCCACTCTTCGCAACGCGGCTGTGCCGACACCATCAGCCAGCAGTGGTTTCAGCAGGATGGAGACTATGCTTGCACCGTCCTGAAGATCATGCATTGTCTCCGAGAGTGGATGTGAGATCCCGTAATTTTCAGTCAGGGCAACGCCATTGAATGGCCTCCGCGGTCACCTGACGTTACACCTTCATATTTTTATTCTCTGGATACACAACAGAAAGATTGTATTTTAGGACAACCCAACGAGCCGGGAAGAACTAAAGGATGATCCCTTCGAGCAAACATAGGCGGCATCTCACCAGAGAATCGCTCCAGAATAGTGGAGGAAGTCAAACGTAGTCTATTCATGCACGCGGCCCGAAATGGTAGCCATGTAGAAAAGCAGCAAATGTGGGGCTACGAGCCAATGTATTGACTCATATGTATGTCAGAATAAAATTTTATAAAATGCTCTTTCATATGATGTCCTATTTATATCTATCCATCGCGTATTTTTGGCAGTGTGGCCAAAACAAATGATGACCTTACTTTTGGGACACTCGGTATGTATGGAGTTATATTTCGGTTGGTTTGAAGCTTGAGTTTTTTTGTCAATGCATGTAAAGCAATTAACTCGGTACCAGCTTAATTTTCAAAACAATATTTTTGACGCTGGCATGTTTTATTCAAATGCGACTCAAAGTCGGTACATACCTATATATACCCAATCATCTAAGTTATTACGTAAAAATTCAATTAATGGGCATTTTTGCAAGTCCCTCGGAAATCAACCCCAGGTAATGACTAACTGCCAGCCGGCCGACCGGCCCCGGGTGGCACAGTGACCGGCCCCCCGGTCACTGTTTGGCCCGGATGTGTAGGAGCGGGAGTAGCACTCTTTTTTGACGTATATTCGCATATTTTTTTTAGGCATATCGACATGAAATGTCATTAGGTATATCTGATACGATGCAAGATCACAGACCAGAGATCGTGCTTATAACTTATGTCTTATAATCAATGTTTAACCGATGAATCAAATCAACAGGACTATGTACGATGTACGTGAGACACGTACCCAGGATCTCGCCCAAGAGGGGGCCAACTGCTCTTGAAGGGACCCGCGAGTCACCCGGGGACCCGGGGTCAGCCCAGACAGGGACGTATCCAGGACCTTTCGATGGGAGGGGGCACGGTGGGTCAGGTCCCACTGGCAGACGGGCCTCTTTAAAACGGTCTTTGCCCTGAGAAAATTGGAAAATTGGCAAGCAAAAATATCATTTATACTCAAGGAGCGTGCCTAATGTGCATTGTATTTTACGAGCGAGCGAAGCGAGCGAGCTCCTCAGAGTCACCGGTGTGTGGTGCGCTCAGAGGTGCCGGTGAAAGGCCGTCAGATGCACTGGTGTTGGGTCCTCACAGGCGCCGTTGCGGGGTCTTGCTTGGGGCTTAGAGACACTGGAGGGGCCATCATTGGCATGCGTGTGGCCCTGCAAAGTGGCCTGAAAGTGGAAAGTGGCCCTTCATAGGTTGGCAAGGACACTCAGAGGCTGGTAAGAGGCCCTCAGAGTCACTGGTACGTGGCCCTCAGAGGCGCCGGTGTGGGGACTCTCGGAGTCGCCGATGGGCTGTGGGCCGTGGGGCCTATCACGACGGGTGTGGAGCCATTGCAGCTGGTCCCTCATTGGCTGTTACTAGGGCCCTCAGAGGCCGGCAAGGTCTATCAGAAACTGGCATTGGGCCTTATGGAGACAAGATAAATGTAGCTACATAGCAGCCCATAACGTGCTCTCACAATCCCTGTGGTATCCTTGCAAGTTGAAGCGTGGCCAGAGCGGACCCTCTGCTACCAATTGGCGCCGTGCAGGTCCCCTCGGGTTCGAAGGTACCCTAAGCCCGAGGACGGGCACGTACCCCCTCGCTCCCTGGCTATGCCACTGAATTGAAGTGATCATGGACCCTTCAGGTAATCAGGGACGTCTCAGATGAACAGGGTTTTCAATTGATCAGGGGCCCACCAGGTGACCAGGGGACCCTCTGATAACTAGGGGCCCCTCAAGTAACCAGGGACCCTTTAAATAACCAGGGCCCCTCAGTAAACGGGGGCCACTCAGGTAACTGCGGGATTCTCTCAGATAACCAGGGGCCGGCAAGGTCTCTCAGGTCCATTTTTGACAAGGCTGTTACTGACGTCAGGTGCGAGCCTTTTGCCACCAGCAGAGGGTCCTTTCAAGCCTTTTGAGGATCGTTTAACGTCTCTTGAGTTCCCTTTGAGGCCTTCTAAGTGCCCTTTGAGCAACCGAGGGGCCTTTGAGGCTTTTTGAGGGCCTCTTGACGTCAGCTGAGGACCGTTGGATGCCAGCTGAGGACCGTTTGGGGCCTTCTGATGGCCATTAGACGCCAACTGAGGGCCCTCTGACACCAACTGGGGGCCCTCTGACACCAGCTAAGCGCCCTTCAAGTTTGACGCCAGCTCAGGGCCCTCTGACATCAGCTAGGGGCCCTCTGACGCTAGCTCAGGGCCCTTTGACGCCCTTTAACCCGCGAGTTGCTGGGGGGGGGGGCGTTAAACGCCCCCACTTTTTTCGCCGGGCCATAGCATAAAAACGGCGCGCCGCAGGCGCGCCAAATTTTGGGTACCTGTAAATAATTGATTGAAGTTTATTGTGACAAAGTTTTAAAAAAATCGGTCGGAAATTTTTGAGATATCGATGTTTTAGTGACGTCATGATTTCTGAGTTTTCGACCAAAAACGACATATGTTCAAAAAATCATATAAAATCACAGAATAGACATACAGACATGCCGTAAACGCCATTAGACTGCCAATACCATGATCAATCAAATGGCTATCTTCGATTATTGATTATTGTTCCGCATTTTCCAAAATCTTGAACTGAATCTTGGCAATTTTTCGTGACTACTTCACGACCATGATACATGAATTTCTTAAATTGAAGTTTTTGAGCCAAACACGTACACATATGATAAAATGAATGTCACCATCGTGTTCTACGCCCCAAATTACCTATAAAACATGTGTCACAGGCTGCGAATATCAGTTTTGATTTTCGGGGATATGTGCCTACCCGGTTGACCTGACCTTGACCCTGACCTATGCTTGACTGACCCCTATATGGAGCTGACACTCTTGTAGGCCTTATAGGGTGGATTGTGCACCGTTTTGACAGAGTTTATGGCGAGAGGTGCCCATTGCGAAGTCCTGAAGTCAATGCTACTGAAAGCCCGATTTCAGGTGTTTGACCTGACCTTGACCCGACCTGTGACCTCAAAATTCAACTTTAAAGTACTCATCTGAAGCGTCTCGTCGCGCTCTTTCGTTTGCCGCCTGGTGCGTTTCGCTGCGCCTATTGGTTCTCGAGTTATCGGCTGGGGGCGTTTAACGCCCCCCCCCCCCCAGCAAACGGTGGGTGGCGAAATACCCCAGCAACTGCCGGGTTAAGGCTTTCTGAGGTCTGTTTGACGCCAGCTGGGGGCCCTCTGACACCAGCTAAGGACCCTTGAAGGCCTTCGGAGGGCCGTTTGACGCGAGATAAGGGCCTTCTGACATCAGCTGGGGCCCTCTGACGTCTGCTCAGGACCCTTTGACGACCTTTAACGCCTTCTGAGGTCCGTTTGACGTTAGCTGAGGGCCCTTTGAGGCCACCTGAGGGCCCTTTGACACCAGATGAGGGTCATTTGACGCTAACTGAGGGCCCTTCGAGACCATCTGAGGACCCTGTGACGCCATCTGAGGGCCCTTTGAGGCCTTTTGAGGGCCATTGAAATTTCACCACAATCACCCTGGCTACGCTACTGGGCATATTATGGACTCATATGGGCCCTCCCGGTCTTTTCAATCATTATTTCAGCTCATTTTTACACGGTCTTCGGCGGTCTAAGGATTAGGGTGCCCTTAGTCGTAGCACGTGCCCTCTGCTCAATTTTGGGACGCAGTAAATATTTGTTAAAATATGCCCTGGTATTATTAGTATCTACAATTTGTATATCTCGGAATTTTGATATCGATGATCTAAGGTCAGGTTAATTTCTCGACCTCCCCATCATAAGTCAAGGGGAAAAATCAACTCCCTGTTTTTACCACTAAAACGGGTCGGAATGGCCCCATATACCATACATGACTTCATATACGATCAACCTTCACTACCTTGAGGTCTGTTTAGCTGTTGGGCAGCTGTAAGGTCATGTGACGTCATCAAAGGTCACCAAAGGTTTTTTTTGCCAATAACTCCGTACAGGAACAGGATACAGCCGCGCCCGCGCGGATGGTCTCATTGTGTTCAGCTCGTCAAGCGGCATCGAATGATATACATGATGACCTCGAGGTCACGTGACCTGAGGTCAACCTTTGACTTTGACCTTTCGAGGTCAACATATATACCTATCATTCGATGCGGATTGACGAGAGGATCACGATGCTGCCCTTTGTTTGTTCCTATCTTGACTAATTCGAAAGTTATTCGAGAAAAACTCGCCATATCTAGCGCCGCCATTTTGACTTTTTGACCCCTGTGACGTCATTTTTTACCTGACCTGAAAATGACCTTTATAAAAATTGTAGACCTTGTCCGTGCGTATCCGATGCCGTCTACCGCTTGTCGCTATCTTGCTTCGTTCTCGAGATCTCAGGGGGGGGGGCGGTCAACCGCCCCCCCCCCGTCGGTACGAAGTTGGCGCAGACCCCCGTCGGTGCGCGGGTTAACGTCCTTTGCGGGCCACCTTGTAGCAGCACTTGCAAAGCAGTATCTGAATAGACGAGTCGACATTGTTGCGATCGAAATTACATCATTTATTCTGATAGTCCGTGTATGCACCTGGTCCTGGTGTGCGCTACAGGTCCCGCGTCGCCAGTCGAGTGTGGAGGAACTAGAGATGTCAATCGGATACCAACTTTTGGTATACCGATACCAAACCGATACCAACTTGGTATTTGGTATTTGAAATTTGAATCGTAATGTGTTTGGTATTTTGTTGGTATCATGAACCTTCACTAATGTATAAGAGGCTAAGAAATCGGTAAAATGTTGGTATTTCCCTCATTTTCCCAAGTCGGTTTGTTTCGGTAGGGTAGACCGGGGCAAGTCGCCCCGCCGAGGTAAAACGCCTCACCGATGTTTCTCGGAACTGGCAGAGTTCTGGGGAAGCATCATCTCTTCTATAAAACGTGCACTATATGATCATTATATGAGCAGACTGGAAAGAAATTGTGATGACTCGTTCGGGAGATATAGCCAAAAATGTGTTTTTTGAGTGATTTTTATGTTTTGTTGTCAGATTATGTAGCACGGCGTTCTTTTATGGTCCACATCAGGTTAACGACTTTTATGTATTTTGAACAACTATTGTCTAACGCTTATCATGCCGGGTTGGTTCGTGTTAAATTATGTCTTGCTGGAGTGCAAGGCGTTGTTCTCTGACCGAACTACGTGATGGGGTAAAACGCCCCAGTAGGTCGCGGGGTAAAAAGCCCCTGGGGCGTTTTACCTCATGTGTTGTTCGGGCTACCCACTTTCTAATGTTCGGTAGCTGGCGAACAGTAAGTTTCTATGCCTTTATGTGTATTTTTCTCAGCAACTGGATGGCAAAGGAAGTATTTTGTTAACATTTGCATTGCAATAATTTATTATTTGGTCATATGAGGTAGGTGAAAAACCTGCTCATACAACAGTGTCATAGCTGAACACCTGACAGGATGGAATGTGCTAACTTCAGTGCCGTGCCTCCAGAGGTCTAACGGACCTCTCACATAAGATTTAGCCAACTACCATGTTAAACCTTTAATCTAAAGTATGGGGCTACTTGCCCCAGGACGTGGGGCGTTTTGCCCTGGGGTTGGGGCAAAATGCCCCATTTGCAGTTGCTTCACAAATCACTTCCTAGCTTGGAGTCCGATCATAAGTGAATGAATTTGAGGGGTGCAATTTAAAGTAAAATGTCCATAGAACGCATTGAGGACAAATTTGGCCTTCCAGGTGATGTGGGACAAAATTTATGTAGCAAAATAAATTATCTGGGGCGTCTTGCCCCAGGCTACCCTATTTCCTCGCAGTTTTGGTTGATATTTGGTTAATGGTTTGGTATCGGTATTCCGAAGTTCCGTAATTGACATCACTAGTAGGAACACTGGCCCGAGATGGCGCTGTGGTAGGGAGTAGGGACATCGGCCCGAGATGACACTATGGAGGTACAGTCGTGTACAGGTTGATGGTCCCCTACTCTTTATCCACCGGGTTCCTATGGCTCAGCATTGGCAGCAGCCGCCTGGTACCGGTAGGCTGTGCCGCATGACCCGAGAGTGAAGCGGCACAGTCTACCCACGCCGTTTGACATCGGCTCGGGTCGCCGGGTGGAGCGCTTTGTAGACCAGCTGTCGCTTCAGACCAGCGCGGGGGAGGGGCTCGCCTCTCGGTGGTTGGCGTGGGCTGGCGAGTGGTGTGGGGCGTGTTGGTGGACCGTGGGGGCTGGGCGGGTGTGTGTGGTCACTTGCTGCATTGCACATTTTGCGTCGCTTAACAATTGCATTCCTGTTTTTGCTAAGCAAAATGCACGGAAGACCCAGCGAATATAATTTACTTGTGCATTGTGCAAAACGTGCTTTGGCACGGTATCGAGGCAACCATAGGTCTTGTGCCACATATATGCATGATATTTAGGCAATACGCTTATGAAAATGGTAGATTGATCGGATTGATCCTGGATGTCAATTCGTATGTTAAATGTCGACATGTATTAAATGAACGAATGAATGAATCGAATCAATCAATCAATCGACAATCGACATGTAGATATAAACCCGTATAAATGGCTCGCAACCACTAAAATCAAACCAGATCCTAACTCGGAAAAGTAGCCGGAGCCCCGATGAGGCTCGAACCGGGACCCCACGTTGAAAGTTTTGCCAATGATCCATCATCATTCCACCAAGCTAGAGCGACCGGCACCCGGAACCACAAAAACATTCATTGACTTTGCTGCCGACCTCCCGGCCCCGCCGCCCGCCCGGCCAGACCTTGCCCCGGCTGTGGCCACCATCCGGTGTAGCTCAGCGTAGGAGTGCTAGACTGTCAAAATGACCGGTAGTGAGAGGCCCGGTTCGAGACGCTTCGCGTGCTGGATGTTTATTTCTGTGTCCGAGGCTATGCGATTAGTCCACTTTTCAGAAAGATTATTTGGTGACAGGTTTGTTTTCTTTCTTTGCTGCAATTCATGAGGAGGCCATATGGACCCTTACCTGTCCTTCCGCACTCCACTTGGGAGATGGGTGTTTGAACCCCCCTGGGTTTTGTGAATATCTCTAAAGCGAATTTTCGGAGGGTGGATTACGATCGGTTCTATGCGACAAGTGACCACACACACCCAGCCCCAGGTCCGCTCACTCCCTCCCCACATCACCCCCGCCCCACACCACACTCCAGCCCGCCTCATCCACCGAGCCGAGCCAAATAGACAGGCCTGACCCTTACACCCCCCCCCCCAGCCGGTGTAATGCAGCGTCCGGTCAAATCGCTCTACCAGGCGACCCGAGCCGGTGTCATACAGTGTGCGTAGGCTGTGCCGCTTCACTCTCGGGTCATGCGGCACAGCCTACCGGTACCAGGCGGCTGCTGCCAATGCTGAGCCATAGGAACCCGGTGGATAAAGAGTGGCGGACCATCAACCTGTACACGACTGTACTAGAGGTACGCCGGCCATACGCCGAGGTCGCTCTGTGGCTCTCCAATCGCGTATAGGTACTTACATACCTCTTCAGTCTTCATTGTTATTTTTTCGAGGTTTATGTTTATTTACATAGAGGGTAAGTGCACATGCGTACCTACTTTTCGCATATACCTACCGCATACGTGTCTCAATAGTCAATATCCATGATCCCACGTCATTACCAACATCCTATTTATCTGCAAGGTTAAAGTCCATCAAAGGTGTTCCGTATCTAAGCTGAATACGGCTAAGGCCGGAATAGGGAATATGGACTGTCTCCTTGACGGGCATTATTAGAGTTTGGTCATTCTGATGGCTAGTTACCTCCACATCTGTGCATGGTACTCGGGCCTGATCGGATCGTGGCCTGTGCCCCATCTCGGCAGGTGCTGGTGCTCTTCATCCTGCCAGGCATCTACTTCCGCGTGATGCTGTACACGGACGAGATGGAGTCGCAGCACCATTCCAGCCGAGGCCTGCCACCGACCGGCCGGCCGGCCGCGCAGGTCGACTGCACCCTCACTCAGGTCTGTCAACATCCAGCCAATCTCCGCAGATCTGGAAGCGATCCTTTCACCCTTGCAGTTTGCACGTGCGCACGTGCACTGCAGTAGCACCCCAATCGTGGACACGTGAAAATGCATTACCCAGTGCGTACCATACCCACATGCCAAGTATCAGCGCAATTGACCCGGCACTTGCTTAGTTATTGCAATGGGAACAAACTTGACACCTCTTCGTTTCGCACATGACACGTGCAGTAGCGGTCACCCGCATGCAATCGAGAGCAGTCCGATCCGATGTTTGGTGGAAAATATGCAACTACCCTACAAGCAACCCACGTAGGTTCCAAGGCCCACGTTGGCCTCCGAGAGCCCCAGGGGCGTAACTTTATATCTCTTTGGGGGGGGCTTGAGTTCCCCCCCCCCTGTGGTAGATTGAGCCCCCCTGGGAAGCTTAGAGCCCCCCATTATTAATTTTTACTTCTTGACAAAACAAGCACAAACAGCAGAACACCAACATGCAATGTTTTTCCACTTTCCATCATATACATGAATTTTCAGGTTTGAATGCTGACAATCAGACGTTGACCTAACCCGGTGATACAGCTTAGCGTCGTCCGCAACGTTATTTATTTACGTTATTTATTTACGTTATTTAACCCACGCCGGCTTGATCTTTCCGCTGAGTGCTGGGGGCCCCCGTCTAACTCGGCTCATGGGCCACGAAGCGACACGCAGTAAGCGGCAATCGAAAGAGCGTCAAGAAATAAGGAAGAAAATACTTCAGTCATTTTTTTAAGGTCAGGTCAAAGGTCAGGTCACCAGAGGTCATCGAAAGTCAAATTTAGTCCATTTCAATAATTTTGGAAACTGCCAATGGCTAACTCGGGAACCAATACAGCCACAGCACCGCGGAAAAGCGCATTCGATAGCCTTTTACAGACTTTTCTATAGATGGTTCTCAGATTTGACCTAAGGTCAACGGTTTAGCCTTCAGAGGCAGGGGCGCAGCCAGGAAAAATCAGAGGGGGCTAGAATTGGTGAGGGCGCCAATTATGGCTCAGGAGGGCGCCAATTTCGGGTCAGGAGGGCGCCAATTTCGCATTTTCACCCTTAAAAAGATGTAAAATTGTAAGCCGTGCCGCAAGGTGTACCACAATTGCTTACCGTCGAGGGCGTTAAGAGTGTTGGACACTGGAAGAGGCGCCTTCGGCGACCGGAAATGATCGTGGAAGGAGCCAGGGCGCTTCGGCGCCCTGGCCCGCGACCTGGTGGGGGGGGGGCTATTTTTTGCCCCCCTCTAGACTTTTCGATATATCTCCAGAACCGCTGCGCCGATCGTCACCAAACTTTCAGTACCCTCCCGGACATCAATTTTACACATTTTGACCAAAAATGTTTCCAAAGGCTATGATAGGTTGGCCGGAAATGACGTCAGAGTGACGTCATGTTCTGCCGTTTTCGACCCAAAAAAGGGTTTCGCGGGAAGAGCTGTCAGGCCTATAGCTTTGCAAATACAGAAAAATGATTAGGACATAAAAGCTGTAGAATCGACAGGGCCACAAAACTGCTATCTCGGATTTTTTAAATTTTCGGATTTTGACCCCCAAAAATCAAAAAATAATTTTTTTGGACTTAGTCATCGAAAAATCCAAAAAGTTTTTTGAATTTCGCAAAAGCCGGAATATATGTGATAGTCCTTACCGCCTTCCATCCACATACCAAATTTTAGATTGATACCTCTTTTTTGGCGAAGTTACAGCGAAAAAACTGTTCAAAATTGATGACGTCAAATTTTCAAACTCAATTTTTAGCAATTCTAGACCCCGTAGCGCAAAACAAAGATCATCATTAGACTCCCCGTGACGAGCTGCATCGAATCAATACCCATTTTATGCAAAAATATCAACTTTAAAATTTGACCTTTTTTTGGCCTGACCTTGACCTGACCTTGACCTGAACTTCACCAGAAAGTGACCTAAGCCATACCTGATAGTCTTATAACCAACACCATTGAGTTGGAAATGAAAAATTGGCCATAAAACATGCATCACACAACCTTAGTAAAGTTGGGCTCATGTGACCTGACCTGTGACCCTTGGTGACCTGACTTGTGACCTGACCTGGTATTGTCAGTGACCTCTAATAGCAACATATCTACTAGGCAACTGACGCCCTATCGCTGAATCTCGACAAAATGCGTTTTCTTCGGTGTTATAGCGCATTCCCTAGATGACCCGTGAACGGTGAAACATGTCATCTTTGACCTGACCTGTGACGTCATCGGTGACCCCGAGGTCAATGAAACTTGGGTTCCCTCGACAAATTTGACAGGCCTTTCGAACGCCGTTTGAATTTTGCGGATCCGTCCAGTAGTTTCGGAGATACGAGGGGGGGCAAAAAATAGCCCCCCCCCCACCAGGTCGCGTTATAAACAGACCCCACCAGGGCGCGGGCTGGATGGCGTCTTCACAGAAGGCGCCCGCTAGATTTGGGAAGGGCTTAAGCCCAGTGTGCCCCCCTTGGCTGTGCCACTGTCTAGAGTGCATAAACTCTAAACTCTAAAAAAAACTCAATAGCCCTTTTCACGAAAAAATGTTTTTTTCAGCAATAATTTCTGACTCAAGAGAGCCAGGCATTCCTTTTGCCAGCATCGTGTTCCTCTCGTCGAGACGCGTCGAATGAGCTATTTGTTGACATTGAAAGGTCATTTGGAAAAGTTGACCTCAGGTCAAGGTCATGACCTGTCCTAAAAGGGCCATGTTGCATATCAGTCGATCCGTATTGTCAAGCTGAACACATCTGACGTGTTTTCACCGCTCTAGCGTGGAAAAAACACGCTATTTTTTTCCGCGAAGCTCTAGCTCGATCAGGGGCCAAACGGCAAGGGGGTCCGTCGTGGTCAGCTTCCGGCAAGGGGGGGGGGGGTTAGCTTCACCGTCGTGAGGGTGAAGCTGACTGAAGGCACGGTGGTCAGCACCACCGTGCCTCCTTACATTCATTATTTCAAAGGCTGATAGATAAAAAGATTCGTAAAAAGCGGTCGACTGCTCCGAAAAAATGGGTCCTTCCAACAATGCCTAGGCCAATTTTTTTATTTCCTGCTTACTGCTCCATTGTCCCTTTGTAATGTAAGATCACAGAAATAAAATCCAAATTACACGAATTGCTTGCACCGTTACCTTTACGTTACTGTGCAGTGCTGCAGAGTCGATTGATCGACTCATGACAACAGGTATGCCTCCTGAAACCCGCAGCACGGTAAAACTGACTTGTTGCATGAGCCTTTTTCTTTTGACTGAATGTTTCTTGGCCAGTGGCGGATCCAGAAAGCGGTCCTGGTTATTGGGGATATCCAAAAAAGTTATTTTTATATTTCCAAAAACTCGCCAGATTTCGATTCCTTAGGTAAGCACTGCTGAGTGCTGAGCACTGAGTAGTTTAAAACAAACTCAAACTTCTATGATATAAGCTATCCGGTTGAAAGGGCCTCAGTTTTTTATATGCCAGGCTACTTGACTTGGTGATCAGATCTTAGGTGTTCTGGCATCAAACTTGTTACACAGGCTGCAAAAGTTATGTTTTAGAGCTGTTTTGCCAAGTGATTTTGTCAATTTTCGCGGTGCTTCGCGCTGCCAATTCATACTCCAGTCAAAAAGAGATCGTGAGGTGTGACCCTCATTAAGCACCCTCATTAAGCATGTAATTAAGCGCCCTCACACGCAGGCGCGGGTATGTACATGCATTACCTATGTATGTATATGTATGTATGTATGTATATATGTATATATGTATGTATGTATATAATGTAGGTATATGCATTACCTACCAGACTGGTGGCACATGTAAACATTTATGCCTCGTAGAAGACAAAAGACTTTATCGTTAAAGGTAGTGTGCCAGCTTTCCTGGACCGTACGGAGTTAATGGCCCAGATAAGGAGAACCGGATTTTTAGAACTTATCCATACCTTCAAAACTCATGGAAACGTCTTAAATTCTTCAAATTTTGAGTACCCCAGTGCGAAATTCGCCCCGACGGGTTGTCGGTCGTACCCCAACCACATTTCACACCACTATGAACAATAAATGCACACGCTGAAATCGCTATTACCGATATGCTCATCCAATCAAGTTTCGATAAACCCGTTCATCATCATCTCCTGCGGTTTCGAACACGCCTGTTAGGTGGTGCGGTAGACTGCGCCCAAAGCCAGGGCCCCGGTAACGTGAGGTAGCCGAGTCGGGGCAGCGTGCGCTGACCCAAGCCGGGGCCGCGCGTCCTCCCGGTGTCATGGATACCCGAAGGTTGTTTCTTCATTAGACAAACACTATTCTTTAGAATTGTGTTTTTCTATTGAAAAACAAACTGAGGGTGTTTCCATTTCGGGATAGGATTCGTGTTTGGTGCAGCGAATTGGGGCACCTTGCACCGTTTGCACACGAACCGATAGATTTTGATTAAATTTTCAGGGCAGCTGCCCCCACAGATTATCTACCACGAAACCCCCTCAGCTAAGAATATAATTATTTTTCTTGCACGTGGCACGTGCACGTGTTTTAGGCCCAAAGGCTTCAACATTAGGTGGATTTTCGGCATCGCATTTCTCGCAGACGGGTGCTTGTAATGCGATGGGCTTCTATGTGCTGGGTGGCCGCCCCGGCATCTACCATGAGCCGGCGGCGCTGTTTCGGGCAGCTTCGGGAAGGGGGTGCAAATTGCACGTGCAGCCGCCATTGGTTTAACGTTACGAAATGGGCCAAAACGGGTTTTCTCGATTTGCTCAAAATCGGCTCGATAGATTTTCTTTGTTTTTTGAGTACCGGTAGTCGGTCAGTAGGTTCGTTCGTCAATGTCAATCGCTTGTAATATAGTTAACTTTTTTGCACGTGGCACGCGCACAAATTTTCACGTCTTAAGTCAATGGGATTTCTTGAAAAAATTACTTAAATCGGTTTTGCTCAAAATTTCCACGGTAGATGTTAAAAATGTTTCAGTATGATATGCACCCACACAGTGGCGCG